CAGGGAATCAATAGCAGCTCCACCTTTAAAGTATCGCAAATAAGCGCTGTAACGCTGCAGACGGAGGATCTGATGCTGGTATTTTTAGAAAGGCTGACGACAACCCAACGCTTGTGTTCTCAGTGCCGTCTAATCAAACACGGAGCGGCGACGGAGGCCGCCGGAAAAATAACAAACGCTTTGTTTGGTTTCAAGTGTTATTTTTGCACAAAGCGGTGCGTCGCTCTGTCATGTTTCTTAAAAAAGAGGGTCACGTTTTCTTGCAAAGCTGAGGATCGGCGTCGTCATCGAACTTCAGTGAAGTCGCGTCGTCTCTATTTAAAGCTGAGCAGACGAGGGTGAGACCAGGACGAGAACTCACTGGTTGTAAAGCAAAATGTGGTTTTGTGGGCCACTCCTGATCTGCACAAATATACGAGTGAGGATTTTGTGTGTGCGTGTTGGAAAGTCAGATATTTGTTGATTTTTAAATCAGCTTTGAGACCAGAGGAGTAAAGAAGACGTTGACAGTGAAAGAAACCAAACTGCTTCATGTTTAAGTGCATTTAATGATTCATTTGAGCAAATGGTGTCACTTCACACGTTCGCTCATCACTCAGCGCCCTGATAAAACAGACTTTAAAATATATGTACATTTTAAGCAGCTTTACCTCCATCACTGCTCAACCTTCTGTCCTACGTGCATTTCTCAGTGTTGGTACAGATTCTGCTCGATGGTTTCAGGACTAAGCGTCACGTCTGATGCTTATAAAAGATCTTTGAAAACCTGCAGTTCAAGTAAAAATGTGAGAATGGAACAACACCCTGACGAGAACGAAGCGCTTTACAGTCTTTTCCACGTGGACGCGCTAATGGAAATGGAAGCCAGCGGTTTGATTGGTCGAAGACGCATCGCATGTGTGCAGATAAATCCCATAAAGCTTCTCCCGCTGTGCTTAATGGGACGTTAAAGCCCAGCTGTCGTGGTCACCGGGGAGCAATGGAGTCATCGCTCCTCTTTTTTATCATCGTAATATATGTACAGCAGTTTCACACTATATATATATATATATATATATATATATATATATACAGACACATTGGTAAACAGCATATTAAAAAAAGAAGAAGCAGAGCTGCCCCTGGAGGACGGTGCTTTGTTGTGTGTACTTTGATGATGCTGACAGCAGCAAGGTTCTGCAAGATCAGCGCCGTATAATCTCCGAGAAGAGCATCCCCTTTGGTTCAAATACTTTATATATTAAAAAAAGAAAAAAGAAGGTGAGTAAACGCTCCAAAGTTTGGCCTCTCCAGGTCAAAAGGAGCTTTATGATGAGGACGTCCTCAACCGTTGGCACACGAGTGTCTCTGAGCAGGAGAGTCCCTGATGTGGTCTTCAATGATTCGTTACCCTTCAACAGTTTTACATCTCGTGTTGTTTCTGGGGAGCGTTTTCCTGTCAGATGGAGGATTTACGGGAACAAAACCTCGCATGTCTTCTGCTTGGCAGCTGTCACGTCCGTGGATAATTAGATTTTTGCTTGACGTGACACTGACACACATCTCACGGCCAGTTTCTGACTCTCGTCTGTAACGTCACAGGTTGCTCACAACAGGAAGTGCTTTTTGCCCTCTTAGATGCTCTTTGAGGAATTCACAAGGAAAAGAAACAGTCACAGGAAAACATGGGAAAACAACGAAGTACATGTTCTTGACAACCCATAAATGTCCTCATTCAGAGCAGGACAGCTGCACATTATTCAACAATTTAAAAAGCAGCTGAGTTAGAACCAAACTCTAAAACAGACAAAGGTGCCGTTGCTGTTTATTTTATTTTGAAGGCGACCAGTCACATCAGATCCTTTCATCCGTCCACCTCCAGCGTTTAGGGGCCGCTGAAGTGCAGCTCGGAGGGAGAAAAGCTTTTAAACTGGACTCGTTGGGCGGCGCTGACAGCTGACAGGCAGCGACTGAATGCCAGTTAGCAGCGCTTCTACCTTTCATTCAACACATCTCCCCTCGTCTCGGTCTGCTTCCAAACATGCTCTTTTTTTGTATCCTATGGCGGGAAATGGAGCGACGCCCAGAGCGAGCACAGTTCAGCGGCTCTCGACCTTTTCAGCCGAGCAGCCTCCAAAAGTGAACGAGTTCCTTTTTAGATTTCTGTGACTGTGCAGAAGCATGAACGGCAAAGGATGACTTTATCCATTTACAGCTGCACCCACGTGTCCTCCACAGCGACGGCAGGACGGTTTCTCTGGGTAAAGTTTAGCAGACAGCAGCGGTCAGACGTCTACATCGTCTCCGCTCAAGTCGCTGCTTAAGGCTCAGAATCTTGGTGTGTTTCAGTGTTTTTCTTAAAAAAGAAAAAGACAATCTCACACAGAGCAGCTTTAATTAACAATTAAAAGGAGAATAAAGGCGTTCGCACTGCCTCCGTTCTACTGAAGCTGCCCTTTGCTGCTGCTGCTGCTGCTCCGTCTCTCTCTCGTACAAATTCAAGTTAATGAGGACAAATATTCAGCAGCATGGGCTGTAACAACACCGGCAGGGCGCTGAACAGTGGATCTTTGAAGTGTTACAACAACACAAGTCTATAGGTGCTGAGGATTAACGCCTCTCTGCTGCTAACATGTAAAAAGCCACAACGTTAGAGATGGATGCTGCCAGAAATAGACTCTGCTTGTCCCAGCTGTCGTTTCCAGACTCGGCGTGCTGCAGGAGCTTATTCCTGTTGTTGCACACGAGGGACGGGACATTACATTAAATTAATTGAAATTTTAATGTGCATATACAATAACTGCACGCACTCGGCTTCCCTTCGCTGCTCCGGTTCACTCCACCGGAGCTAAACCTGCCACGATCTCCTGAGCACCGATGAAATCTGCTCTCTCAAATCCGATTCCTGCTCTGGGCCTCACCCGACATTAACGGCCGCAGAGACGGCGGCGTTAGCTCCTCCGCCGCTGTGATTAGTGTCTGTCTTCACCTAAAACTCAATAACAGCAGCAGCAGGTGAAGAGGTGAGCGGTTCTGTTCCAACAACACGTCTGACACGTCGGGAGTCACATAATTGAGCGATCAATCAAGACAGAACTTTTCCAGTTTATTTGCTCAGTGGGCGTCGAAAAAAAGGGATTTTTGGGCATTATTTAAGTAAAAAAGGGCAAAAAATCAAACTAATCAACTCTGACTGACCAAGAGTGTCGAACATTTAATAAACAGGAATGAAGAATGTTGTGTTTTTATGCTTAAACCAAGTTTTAGGAGCATCTGCAGGCGCCAAAGCCAAACTAACCCACTTCATTCTGTTTTATGTTGGCGTTAATTCATTATTTTTAGGTGTGGGGGCCTCGATCAGGCAAACATTGATGTTGGGTCACTGAAAGACGACTGATGTGTGATTTGTTTGTATTTATTTTGTTTGATCGCCAGTTCAAAGAGGTTTTTTTGTGCAACATTTTGAGCCAAATGGGGCAAAAATCAACTTAATCCATCAGATCTGAGCGACCCAGAGTCACGTGTTAAACATTAATACATAAAAATTCAGAATATTGTGTTTTATTGTCATTGTTTTTATGCTTAAACCAAGTTTTCAGGAGCATCTGCAGGTGCCAGTGCCAAACTAATCCACTTTATTCTGTCTTATATTCGTTTTAACGCATTATTTTTGGGTTTGGGGGCCGTTGATCAGGCAGCAGTGCGTGTCGTGTAACTCATAAAGCTTCAGAGGGGATTTTTATGAATCAGTTAAGTCAAGAGGGGCAAAAATCAAATCAGCCAATCAAACCTAATCAACCCAGACTGTCCTGATGAAGCGGATTAATTTATATGTTTAGTGTTGAACTGTAATAAATGTCCATTATCAGTGTGTTCTTGTGTGATTGTTTAATGCTGCAGGAAGTTATTGCAGATCTGAAACCAGGTGATCAGGTTCATCAGCTTCTCTAATGCCACGATTAGCAGCTTCATTTGGTTTTATGTTGAGCTGACTGATTGTTTTTAGGTTTGGGGGCTGCTCATCAGGCATCAGGACAGATCCTAAAACACGCCCACCGTGGCTGTTCCATCAGCCGCTTCCCGCTTTTAGTCCGATCTAGAACACGCCGTGCATAGTTGGAAGGGAGATTATTGTGTGCTGCAACCAGGCCTTAGTCGGTGAGGCAGGAAAAGGCACGGGCACATTCAGGAAGCGACCTAAAGGATCTCCAGCTTGTTGGCTTCTGTTGGTTTCCACGACACCTTTTAAAATGCTGAGCTGCCCATCACAACAACGACTGATCAGTAACTAGGTTTTCGACACAGGGCTTGGCCGTGACATGAGCAGAGGGGAGGAGAAATCATCAAACCAGAAACTCACATCAGGTACAACAGACGGAACACTTTGTTCCACAGACAGCATGGCTATTCACTTGTGTACATTATTTTTTTTGTTTTACATTTCAGAGTTTTAATCCGTATTAGTTCACGTGTTCTCGTGCTGTTCCACTGAAGAAACATGAAGAAGCAGTGAGACGGCGTCGCTGTGATGACCAAGGACCCCGGTGAATACATTTGGTGTTTTAGCCCAACGGGCCGCTGAAGCTCCTCCAGGTTTGTTTGTGAGTTTTCCTTGGCTCAAACTGGGAATAAAAGACACTGATTACTGAGTTAGAAAACCTCCATCCATGGCAGTAAAAGTCAAGGAGCTTTTGCATGAACACTGCACCAAGAGAGCGACCGTCATTACAATTGTTGGACTTCTCCATCGGCTGATTCTGAGTTGTTTGTGAGTACAATCTGTCTGAATTCAGCTCCAGCAAACTAAACTTTTCCTCTTTTTCTTTTTTCAATCCCCAGAATATCGTCTTCTGGGCACCTTCATGTGGATCCACAGACCCACAGCGTCCTGCCTCTTCTGGCTTCAGCGATCATCACACAGGTTTGGGGGAACAACCAATCTGGCAGCGGTATGGCTGCGTGCTGCACTTTTTTCCCCCCGTTGGTCTCCGCAGCGCCGCTGATTGGCAGAACCCGCAGCGCTACACATCAGTGTCTGGCTTCTCCACCAGCTTCAGCGCCTCGTGCATGCCAGCCGCCGACAGCTTCCGATTGATGTTCCTGTAGCGGCACCGCAGGAGGTTACTGTAGGTGGTCCTCAGATCGCGGTTGAAGAACGCATAAATGAAGGGGTTGATGAGGCAGTTGGCGTAGCCGAGCCACAACAGCGTCCTCTCCAGCCAGAGCGGCACGCAGCTGCACTCCACGCCGCAGACGAACGGCCGGGCGGTGGACACCAGGAAGAACGGCAGCCAGCAGAAGGTGAAGGCGCCGACGACGATGCCCAGCGTGGTGGCGGCCTTCTGCTCCCGCTTGAAGATGGACTGGTTTTTCCTCTTCCGGCGCTGGTGGTGCTCGCCGGTCTTGAGGAGGCGGGACACTCGGGTGCTGCACTCCTCCTCCACCTCGCGCTGCAGCTTGAGCGCCGCCGCCACGCAGTCCAAACTCTCCTCCTCTTCCTCTTCCTCGGCCTCCTCCTCTGGCTCCACCTCTGGGCAGTCCAAACTCTCCTCCTCTTCCTCTTCCTCGGCCTCCTCCTCTGGCTCCACCTCCGTCCCCTCCACGCTGCCCGTCTCCCCGGACTCCGCCGGCTGCTGGGCGTCCGGCCCTGCCCGGCCCCCTCGCACAGCCGCCCCTGCTCGCTGCTCCCCTTCCCTGGGGAAGCCGGTGATGGTGTGCTTGGCGGCGCTGAGTTTGGCTGCTCGGTAGATCCTGTAGTACATGATGAGCATCACTGACATGGGGATGTAGAAGGCCACAGCCGTCGAGTACACGGTGTAGCCGAAGTCCTGGCTGATGAGGCAGACTCTGCCGTCGTTGACGTTCTGCGCCCAGCCGAACAGCGGGGGGAGGGTGATGGAGGCGGAGAGCAGCCACACTGACAGGATCATCTTGGCCATGCAGCAGCCGTTCTGCCGGACCGGATACGTCAGGGGTTTGGTGATGCCCAAATACCTGCAGAGACAAATCAAACATCACATGTTCCTTGTTCTCTGTATGTATTTTTCATCTTTTTCTCACCTCAACAAGGTGCCCTTCAGCAAAACACGGCAGTCTGTGGCAGCCATATGCAGCCTCCAGGTGGAAACGGGGTATTTTTATGAATGGGAAGCTCCAGGATCCCGAGGAGGACCATATGTGCTCAGCAAACCGCTCTGTGTTCATTAAAGCTCCCTGCATCATCCCGTTCGGTTCTCCTCTGAACTCTGCGCCTGTCTTGTCATTTCAGTTCATGCACTCATGTGTCACCTCCTCACCTGCCTGTTGTCTCACCTCCTGCTCACCCTGTGGACTCGCCTGCCCTCCCACATAAACACTCCTGAGAGCTCCTCTCTCATCTCCGTGCCGTTCGACCTCGTGTGTTCATCATTTTCCAGCAGTCTTGTACTCTTGCCTCATTCTTTGTTTTTTGGATTTTCGCCTTCTCGCTGCCTGGATTTCTTTGCCTGCATCTGAGCCTCTGATTTACACTCCAGTCTCCAGTTTGCAGCATCACAGCTCTGCCTGATGTTCACACTTAAAACAAATCCCTGACAAAATACTCACTGGCTAAATGTCGTTCAGCAGCCTTCCCCAGATGTGCAAAGGAAGATTTTATGATTCTGTTAAAGTGATGGACGCACAGATTTCAATTTAAAGAAATAAAGCAACAATTAAGGCTAAATTTGACCATTTTTTTGCGTCTTTATTTTTGCTTAGAAAGAGATTTGGTGTGCAGAAAACAATCACTTCAGCTGAAAGGTCGCAGGTTTGTTCCGAACATCGGGACACTTTGTCTCCCAAATTTAGAGTGGATGCCCTTGAACGACACTCGGAACCACAGCGAGGCTCCTCAAATCCCAGGTTTCAATGTCGCAGAGGACTGAGCGGCAAAACCTCTGATTAGACTGCGCAGTGGAATCTGGGAATGGCGATAAAAATGTGTCCTTTTCTGACAGAATCTACGTTTGAGCCTCTGGTTCCCCACAGCGCTGGGTCGGACTTTATTCAGGCGATTGTATAAAAATAAAAGCGACGTTTGATAGAAAGTTTAGCATTTTTTCTGCTTTGCCTCAGTATCAAATAGTTCTGGAGTGTGCTTGTTTAATAAATGATTTTCCAATAAAAATCTGACTTTGTTAAAAGGGAAAGAAAAGTTGATCTCACCTGTCAATGCTTATTACGCACAGAGTCATGATGGACGCGGTGCAGCACATCACATCCATGGCGATGAAAACGTTACAGAAGAACTGTCCGAATATCCACTGACCCCCGATCAGGTCCGTGATGCTCACGAACGGCATCACGGCCACGGCCACCGACAGGTCCGCCACGGCCAGAGACACGATCAGGTAGTTGGACGGCTGGCGCAGCTTCTTGACGAAGCACACGGAGATGACCACCAGCAAGTTCCCGCAGATGGTGGACAGCGTGAGCATGGTGAGGACCCCGCCGATCAGGACCTTCTCCACCCGGCCGTAGCTCAGGATCAGTTCGCCGCACCGGGTCCCGTTCGTCTCCATGACCTGCGGCTGACTGGAGGTGGACGGAGAAGTCGCTGCTGCCGCTGCTGCCGCAGCCTCTGCGGCGCCCTGCGCAATCTTCAGCAGCCGGGGCGCAAGAGCCTCCGAGATCATCATGTTGGTGGAGCCCCCGGGATCTCCGCCACCGACTCGATCCTCGATCATGTATGACGACCTCATGTTGCCACCGCCGAAAGTTCCGTTACTCGCTCCCACAACAACCATTCTGCTGCCGCCTGTGCCTTTTTATCCATGGACTTGGAGACCCGTCCGGTGGTGACATAGACGCGCACAGATGTGCCGGTGTTGGTGTGAGGAGTGAGTAATCCCTCTTCCACAGCCCCCCTCAGGATAAACTACGCTGACATGCTCTCCTTCTCTGCAAAAAGCCTCGACGCCTTAATTCTGCTATTTAAAGGCAGACTCGTCATTACGCACGTGGCGCGCCGCAGGCATATTCCCAAAATACCTGACCTATAAAATACGGTTTTATTTCCTCCTGTCTGTGGTCTGTACCTGGCTACCGATTCCACTTTTCAGCCTTGTGTGCAGAAAGACAGAAACTTACAAACCGCCCTGCGAGCATATATATATCTGAAAAGTTGGCGCGTGACGTCAAAAAACATGTTGGGTCGCCCATAGGCTGCGATCAGCTCGTATCGGAACATCCACACAAACGGTACAAAATCTCCTGGGCCCCTTTCTGGAGTTCATTCAAGCGAAAAAAGGACAAACTGTGCCCATGGATGGCCGTGCGTAATTGCGCAGAAAGAAGAAATGTTCTGTCGGTTTGAAATGCATGCATGGCTTGTGTTGTTGTTGTTCACCTCCACGGATCAAGGTGAAGCAGCTGAAGTTTTAATCCCCCCCCAAACTCCTCCTTCAATCATCTTTCATTTCAGCCCGCAGTCCAGGCGGAGGATTTGAATGATGAGCGTGAGGAGGAGAGGTGCCACCATCTGTCTTCATCCCACTTCTCAGACTTTTCAGATTTATGCAGCTGGAGGTGAGAACGGGACCCCCAGCTGCGTCCAAAGACTCTCCATCATTCTTTAATCTGGGCCCAATTATTGCATGATAACCCCCAAACGTCTGCACGAGAGGCCGTGAAGCCGGGGATAGCCTTGGATAGTACCGCCCCCATGCGGTCACAGCCCTCAGCTGCACGCTGCTCCTGAATTCCCCACAGTGCAGGAATTCCTTCTTCACACCAGCAGAGCCTGTGCTTCTGATTATTTACTGTCACGGTTTAATTTGGACATTTTCCAGTGTACAGTGTGTGTAGCTGACAATATCCATCCACACAGTTCACAGAGTTCTAGTTTTCAGAGCTGTGGCACAGAGGTCATCAGCAGGTCCAGTTCCATCTGATTTGATCCGCTGGAAGCTGTCTCCGAGGTGATAGGAAAATATTTCTCACCTCTCTGGTGGCTTTTTGGCTCTTGTCCCCTTAAAATGAAGCTCACTCCTGGAAGTTCAGTCAAGGTTTGCTCTGAAGCATTTGAACAAAGACAAAATAATAGACAGAGGAGAACTAAACAGAAATGTGGAGGTTTTTTATTTCATTTTTCTGATGTTCCTTGTTTGTGTTGCAACTCTTCAGACTTCTGTTGAGGCTCTTTGGGGGACACAGAAAGCATCTGAAGCCCAAGTCTTTGACACACACTCGGGTAAATCTCATCCAACAAGTGTGGAAGTATTAAGAATCTGTGACAGAGACAGACGGCGGCTTCCTTTAGAGGAATAAATCATGTTTTTCTCACTGCATTGAGGCCACTTTTCCATCAGTGGTGGGTGATGGTGACATTTTACACATGCACGCATCACCAGCGACTCTCCTGCGCTGTTTATCACTCTGGATGTAGATTTATTATAATAGTTATAAACTCATCACTGTGAGCTCCATGTTCACAGATGCTGGCTTTATTTATTTATCAGGACCTTACTGGTTTTTATGCACCTGCAAGGAACAAAAACACAGTTTTTACTGAGTCTGGTAGATCCAGTTGAACTCTTTCTTTCTCTTTGTGCACCTACAATCTGGAATAACACGTGGAGCAATACTTACACTATATTAAAAAAGAATCTTTAACTGTGATTTTTTTTTAATTAATTAAAAACAAAGTACTGTTATTTTACAGATTTTCCCAGTTTTGTAATATGAAATGACAGAAAAGCGTGTTCACACATGAAGCAGGAGAAAACAGGTTAAAACTATAAATGAAGTCCACATTAAGAACCTGTATGTTCACAGATGCCCATTCATTGTTTTACTTTTTACTGTATTTAAATAAGCAAAAAAAGTCATTCATGTCCAGATATTTGCTGTTATTTGAAAGAAAGTTTATGTATATTAAGGCTTGAAAACAGAAAAAAAAATGTAATTTACACGTTAACCATAAAAAAGAAAATCTATAAATATAAATGTTCTCATCAGAACTGTTTTTAATTTTCTTTATAGTGTTTAACTTTAAAATTACACGACTTTTTGCTGCATTGAAATCAGCAAGAAAAGATAGTTTTATAGATATTTGCTGTTATTTGAAACAAAAACAAAGTTTATGAAGGACTGAACGACGCTCAAGAACTTCTAAAGGCTGTAATTTTACAGATTTTACAAATATTATCTCATAAAATCACAGACAATGTTTTATTTTCATGTTGAATGTAGGAAAACTGCCAAAACCATAAAAAATGTCAACATCAAAAATCTTAAAATTTAGAATTCTTTCCTTTTCGATGTGTGACTGAAAAAATACACAGTTCTGTTGCATTCAATTATTATTTTGCAGATAGTTTTTACTGAAACAACGTTTCTGGTGCCATTGCTGCTATATTTCCTTGTTTTTACTTTTTTTTTTATTTTATTTTAATGTAATTGTAGATTAATTCAGGTTTTCACTTCCAGATGTTCTTGTTTTGCCTGAATCATTTGTTTTAAAATCCTACATGCTTTAATTAATGTTTTTATCTTTATTCTAACTTTGTCTGTAAACATCTTCTATTATCATCCAAGTTTCCTATGTGCTGCTGCATCTTATACGTTTGAACTTGGCCACATTATAAATGAGTCTCCACGCCTCGGTGTGCAATCTAAGCTTCAATAAAGGTTGGATTAATATTTGTTAAAGGTGATATCAGTAGTTTTATCCAACAATGTCACATTTATTTAGCATGTAAACTCAAGAGAGCTGCTCAAAGGTTTGTTTTAATCCACAGCAGCAGCAGAAGATGCAGAAAACCTTCAGCTGCAGCGGAGGTCACTGTTCCTGCTGATGTGACGCTCGGTCATCTTGTTGTGTCCGTCTGGATGATTATAGGATTTCTATTGAAGGATGTAAACATATTTTAATGGGAATCTATACTCTGTGTAGCCGAGTTATTAAAAAAAAGACTCGACATTTAAGTCAACCTGCTGTCAGAGCACCAGAACTGCTCACACCAGCTGAATTTTAAAAACATGACAAGAAATATATTAAAACATGCTCAAAACTGCAGCTCACTGTTCTCATGTTTGAATGATGTCAGCAGTTCTGAAACACCTCGATGTCCTCTGATACGGAGGAAACATCTGCTGAGAGTTTTAAAGGCTGATTCAGACACTTTATTGGTCACTAACACAGTTTCATTCCTGCAGTGTTGTCTCATGAAAAGTTATAATACCGTATCTGCAGAAGTGTGAGGGCTGGACTCACTTTGGTGACATACGGTCTGGAAGCTGTTCAGCCAGACAAATGAAACCTTCTCCTGCCCGAAGCTTCTGTTTAAAGACCGAACAGCTGTGAACAAAGTCTCCGTCCACTTGTCCACACCTCGTATATCGTGAGGTTCCAGTGACTCCTAGAACTCTGATTTTTCTATGATGGAATCATTGAGACACAAAAAACAGTCCTTTGGTTCCTTCATACATTTATTACAGATTTTTTTAAAAAAAAATACGACAGAACCTGCTGGTTCAGAAGTAAAAATACAGCCATGCTAATATCTGGTGTCGCGGGGTTCAACCAGCAACTTTCCCAAACTGGGAGAAAACGATGGCGTAGACATCAGCTTTGGTTTTTAAATTTATTTCAGGCCTCTCCAAAGTGCGGCAGTGACTAGAATATTTACAAAGTGCAACAAAACAAAAAAAAAGTGCAAAAACCCAATCGTAAAAATAAGCAAAGGAAAAGAAAAGAAAAACTCTAT